TCAGCGTGCGAATGACTTCTTATAGGAAACAGGGCTCTTATAGGTTATGGCCCCAGATACCATTTTTAATACGGTTCAACCGCCTTCACCTGGGGTTGAACTGGTATCTTGTGATCTGACCTGTGGAGTGTTAACCACTACACTATAGACCCACAGGTCTTGGAAAAACAAAATTTTTTTAAATAATGTAAATAAAAAAATATTAAACAAATTAATATTCGAATTATTAAAATTAATGGTTTTACATTTTAATCCATCACAAAAGCAGTTGCATGATTGATTAGGTGCTTTACATTATTATCAAAGAAAAAGATATCAAAAGGCATAAACAAAAAAACTAGATGCAGATAATTGTTACTTATATACAAATAACTAATTAATAAAATAAAATTAATTGATATTTATATTATATTACTTGTATAAATTTTTACTAAATAATAAAGAAAAAGATATAAATAATCAAAAGTGCACAGTTACTTATTAACAAAAAGTCCAAAAGTATTACAAAATATCAAAAAAATTGATTGATATAATTAAAGAATCAAGAGTTCATTCAGCTAAAAAAAGTAAAACTTATTTAAAAAATGATAATAAGAAAAGAATAAATGTATATGACTGCAGTTAGCATTCTAATAAAATATTTTTTAATAAATGATTTTATGTCAAATAATTAATTCATTATTAATTATTTTATAGTTAAAAGATTTATTGAAAAATTTAGATAAACATTTAAAATTAATTCAATTATTTCAAGCAATTTATAAGTAAAACTATAGTAAATTTTATTGTCAAAATATAATCTAGCTATAAAACTTATCAAGTTAGGCTTATAAATCAGAGGATAAAAAGCAAGAAATAAAATAAAATATAAAATATAAACAATTGACAAAAAAATATAAAAGACAAAGAATCTCTAATTATAAGAAATCACTTATGTATTTAAAAAAAAAGAAATATTAAACTGGAAAAAGTATATACAGTGCTGGCCATAAATAATGGAAATTTTAATTTTCTAATTTTAAAGATTTTTTGCGCCACGATTATCAATCTGTATTACTATAATTTTTTTTCTTTTTTAGCTTATGTTTTCTCATTTATTAAAAAAATTTTTTTTTCATGTATTACATATTACTATAATAGTAAGATCGTCATTAGAAATGGAGGATAATTCTCTCGCTTATCAAAGAAGCGTCATCCAAGCGTTGTGGCATACCAATGAACAAAACCCTACCTCTTTAATAAAAAAAACTGTTTTTCCTAAGATAACCGTGTATAACTATGTAAAAAAATTAAAAAAAAAAGATAATTTAAATCCCCTACCTCATCCAGGACGACCTTCCAAGTTGTCTCCCAAGGAACTCAAGAATCTTAATAAATTCATTTGGAAGAATCCAGAAATTTCTATCAAAGAACTTGTGTCTAAATTGAACGCTAGTAATCCAGACCTAAAAATATCAGTGAGAACTATCAATAGGGTGCTTGCAAACCACGAGTAGATAGTTACAATTCCTAAACAGGTCCCTCTTCTTACCGAAGAACACAAAAATCGTTGCTTAGAATGGGCCAAAGCTTATGTTAATCAAAAATGGTGCCGAGTCATTTTTTCTGATGAATCTACCTTCCAGATGTTCCGTAATACGACCCAAGTTTGTTATATGGCTGATACAGAACGGCTACAATGTCTTATAGTTAAGCACCCGTACAAGGTTCACGTGTGGGGTGCATTTTCAATGAGAGGTACTGTTGGTTTTCATGCGTTTACTCAAAATATGAATGGAGAGTTATACCATCAAATTCTCGCAAATAATCTTGCTAACATACAGACTGTAATGGGTCGTGGTTGGATCCTCCAACAGGATAATGACCCTAAACACACAGCAAAGGCAACGAAGCAATTTCTAACCGATTCTCATGTGAGGGTTTTAGACTGGCCATCAAACTCGCCAGATCTTAACCCTATCGAAAATCTGTGGGCGATTTTAAAAAAAAAAGTAGAAAAAAAGGTTAATAAGAAGGTGCGAGAAAAAAAATCTATTACGTCTACCGAGTTTAAAGAATTAATTAGATCAGAATGGGCAGGTCTTGAAAAAAGCATGCTGATCGAATTAGTAAAAAGCATGCCTCATCGTTTGGAAGAGTTGGAGACTGAAAATGGGCATAAAATAAATTACTAAAAAAAAAATACTAGTTAGTATATTAGTTTAGCTATTTTATTTTTTTTTTATGTAATAAATATTTTTTTTTAAATAAATAAAAATAAATCTACAATTCCTATTATTTATGGCCACCACTGTAAATAGACAAAATCCAAAAGACAATATTAAAAAAACAATAATAATAAAATTACAAGAAATACAAAAAGCACAAAAACTATAATTTCAAAGCAAAAAAATTTTAATATTATAAAATTTTTGAGAGTTATAAGGACTATAATAAAATTAGCAAAAAAAAAAGATGATTATAAGTAGAAAAATTCAGATAAAGTAATAGAGAAGAGATTTAATAAATAATGAGTAAACAATTACTGAATAATTAATTAATTAATAATTAATAAAAAATAAGCAAATAATTATTTCAAATTTTATATTTTTTACATTTTTAATAAATTTATCAAGTAGTAATTAAATTTTATCAAATATTATTATAAATGCAAATTTTTTATTGAAAATATATAATTTGATTTTACTAAAGTATATAATACTAAATGATTTTGTCAACTTTATAGTTAATTAATAAAAATTTATTCCAAATATTGTAATTTTTATTATAGAATATTGTAATTTTATTGCCAACTATTTTTTAATTAAAAATATTTTTTGCTGAATTTTTTTTGCTAAATAATTTTATTGTCAAATAATTTAGTTGCCAAATAATTTTATTGCCAAATAATTTAGTTGCCAAATAATTTTATTGTCAAATAATTTAGTTGCCAAATAATTTAATTGCCAAATAATTATTTTTTAATCAAATGTTATATTTTTTTTGACAAATTATTATATATTTTTTAAGTATTGAATGACATAAATTTAATTAAATAATAAAATTTCAATATAAACTTCTATCAATAAATTTGAATTTAATTGACTATAATTCAAAAATCAAATAATCTAATTTGGACTAGTGCAGATCAAATCACAAAATATCAGTTCAACTCTAAGCAAAAACAATTGAATAGAATTAATATAGTATCTGATACTTTAACTTGTTAAAAGTACTATTTTTTATATGAAACTATTTTATATACTAATTCAGTGAGTATTAAAATTATAATCTTCAGAAAAAATGCTATAATGTAAAAATTCTCCAGTTGATATTACAATTATTACTAGAAGTTGTAAAGTATATAAGATATTTGCTTTTAGTTAAGATAATTTAATGATTTTTTTTTGTAGTATTTCAATATCTTTTTAAGTATGGTTTTAAAAGATCTTATTTCAATTCAATAATAGATTATATCAATAATTGTTTATTCTAAAAAGGCATTTAGTATTTCCAAATAGTTATAAAGACTACTATAGATTATAAATATATAGTTATAAATACTTTAAATATTCTTGAATAACTTTAGAAAAGATAAAAATTAAATAGTTAATTCAATTACAAGTGATTAAATCTTAAAGATTTTTCTATAAAAGTTCTATTTGTCCAAAATAAATATTACTCCAATTCTTTATTTTTAAATTTCTCTTAAAATATTACATAATTAAAAATAAAACTTACATATATTAATAAAAATTACAAACAAGTAAAACTTTGATATATTTAAAATATATTAACCTTTATCCAATAGAAAAAGTTGATAACAATAATTGATATATGGAAGAATCCCAATATAGTTTAATATATATAAGTCAACCAATATTATAATATAGTTTATATACAGTAATGTAAACAAATATATATAAATATTGACATTAATAAAGTTTGCTAAGCAAGATTAATGCTAGTGATTATAAACAAACAAACAAACAAATACAAATACAAATATAATGTTTAATAAAAATCTTGCATTTTATATTTATTAAAAAAAATTTTTTTTTAATTAATAATATATTAATATTAAATTTATTATAATATAATTTTTAAAAAATATTTAAATTTTGTATTCTTAATTTTTAAATATTTAATTTATCAAACAAATTCATTAAAATTTTTTATAATAATTAATATAATAATTTAATTGCTTTTAGATTTAAATTATTATCAAAAACTCTTTTAATTTATAAATATCTTTATCAAATATATTTAGATTAATATATTAATCTATTTTGTTCAAGTTGCAATTTTCATTTTAAAAATATTAAGCATATATTTAATTATTTATTAGTTAGCAACAAAGTCAAACAAATAATAACTTTATATTAATATTAAACAATAATTCTCTATCAATATTCTTTATTTGACAAGTAATTAAATTAATATGTGAAATTATATTTAGTATTTATTTAATTTCAGATAACAATAAATAAATTAAAATATTAATTGAAGTTTTAATTCTTATTTATAATTATATTTAAATAAGGATTTTTTAGATAGCATTTTAATATCCTATATAACAAATCCTTAGCTATCAAAAATGAAATCCTTAGGTGTGATTAATACATTGCCACTAAAAAAAAGGTCTATCCATCAGGTAAAAAAAAAAAAAGTTCAATATATTTTCTTATTTTTTTATTCATATATATATCGTAATCCCATTTACTTCATTGTAAAAAGTAGATGGATATATGTAGCATGTCGATAGATTAGCTGTATCATCAATTCGGCTTAATTATGTGTGACCTATTTACGGTATACAGCATTTAATAATACTGTATATAATGTAAAAAAGAAAAAAACTATATTCATGAAATTTGTGTTAAAAATCTAAACAATATTTACATCTATTCTGACAAAAAAAAACCATGACAAGTGCGTTGAATATTACATGGTTATGAAGAAGTAGGCTATGAAATATATTGTATAATTCGAGTTATACGTTAAATTTTCTCCGACTTCTCCTATATTTCTGGCGTGATATGATAATACTTCTGTTTTTAAAATAATCCGATGAATTATTAAACGGTCAAACAAATAGCAGACATTATAAACAAAACTCAAAAAAAAAAAAAAAACCTACTATAAACCTATGTGGCAGGAGCACAGGAGCTAGCAATGTCCAACAATAAATCAATATACATATCCAGCTCGATATAACCTTTATCCACGAAATTGTATAGCTATGTCCTATTTCCACCAACTTTTCTTTGCCAGTCATATTAATTGTATTCCTAAATAATAGAGAAGATAATTTGTATGGAATTCTGTGAAGAAGGGAGAATTATTTGTTCGAGACAAATACTTACCAATTGGTCAACAACATCGCGACATACATTGAGGCAATCGCGAATACATAATGAAAGAATTCGTAGTTATATTTGACAGTATGTTCTTGGTCTATTTGTGATTCGTATGCCGGTGGTAAATTGCGGATGCTAAAAAAGTTTGAATTCACTTAACGTATCCAACTGCGTTTTATTTATGTTACATAATGTATAAGTTTGAAACGTACCAATTGTTGTTTGACATGTCTACCTTCTCGTAGAAAACACCGCCGGGGCTTTTGTTAACCGTTTTGGCAACTCTCAATAAATTCTCGGTATCATCCTTAACCTGATAATCTGCACCGAACATCAATTCCTCGCCCTCGGTTGCAGTTCTTGACGTCGAATAAGTGAGCGTCAAGAAAGTAAACAAGGCACCAATGGCAATTGTAGTCTTTCGAGCCTTATGGCTGCTCATCAACGGATTGCAAATATGACCTGCTGGTTCATTCACCACAGCACTCATAACGAGACATGTGCAATAAAAAATTATCATTGAAGCTTGTGAAAGTCCGGAATTGGGATTCCCTTCTTGAACTACCGGAAGTATGGAGAGGAAAACCCCAATTGTACATAGCATTACATTTGAAGCAAGAAAGAAAATGTTTAGAGTGCATTCGTCCTCTGCAAAATATAGGTACATAGTAACGTTGAGGATAATTGTGCCCGTGAACATTACGACAGTTGACCATATATGAATGTATTTCCACAATTTGCTGTTCGCAGAGGACTCAATTTTTCTGATGCACATCTCGCCCCAGTTGTGTGCAAAGTTGACCAAAAGAATTAGACCAAGGAGAATGAAAAAAACCGCGCCAACCAATGAAACAACATTTCCCCACAACATAAAGAATTCATTTGGCACGAAGAATGAAATGATAACTAGGAGAACCCACAGTAAAATTTTTTGACCCCACCAACTTTTTGAAAAATCGATAAAAAAAAGGTAGTTAAATTAAGAATCACGTGATAGAACATGTAGCGTGGTAAAAATCATAACTTACCCGTTCTGTATAGAAGCCCATTTTTCACGTTTATCCTTAACCCCAATTAATAGCCGGGCCAGAATTAAATGAAAAAGAGAAAGAGCAAAACAGATTCGATGAACCTGCATGAGGTAAAGGTGGCGCAGTGGTCAGCTGAAATGCGATATCTTGGTGTTGTAAAGTATGTTAAAAATGTATACCGCAATTACACCATAACAATCTTCATCGGGGCAATTTAGATCTAGGTAATTGTTTGTTTTCTTCCTAAGTTTCTTCATCGCCCAATCAGACATCATCAGCCATGCGAACTGAAAATTTGAATTAACACTTATTTAGGCATTGTTTATCAAAAAGTCGCGCTCAAATGATTTACAACATACCGTTGAGTTTAGAAGAAAAATGACCTTTGAAAAAAAAGAGGAGAATTATGCGTTCAGGAATTATGGAAGTAGAATGGAATCGATGAATCCAAAACATAGATACTTACTGCGAATCCGACTCTTGTTACGATCGATCTGTTACAATTCCACGATGTGAATCCCAGGGAACATAATAGCGTAGACATACATGTGGTAAACCATGATGATTCTCCGACCTCCATTTCTGTGGGAAGCTAAACGTTATTTTAATGATAAACCCTTTGGGGATAAAAAAAGTGCAAGATGAAATTTCTATTCTCGGTTTTAGGATGTGAAAAATTTAAAGTGTGAAAGAAAACGTGCGCAAAGGTCGAAGGTGACGTGATAATTCACTCAAATGTCCTTGCGAGAAAGATATATATATATATTTTGGTGCTATATATAATAAAGTTTGCTGTAACCAACCTTGGTGCGTACAAATGCAAGCGATAAATACAAATTTTCAGGATGCGGCTTAGAGAGACGGCGGCAACCAGAAAAAAAAAAAATAGCGTGGACAAAAACCCCTTCATATATAAGATACAAATCTTGATTTAGCGCCTTTAAGTTTAAGTCACATGACATAACTGGAGGCCTTTATTGCCAATTCTAAACGATTTCGGTATCCTTTTCGGGTATTACCAAACTCCTTTAGAGAATTAATAAAATCACCTCGAGGCTTCGTTTTTTTCCCAACATAGTATTATTCGAATATGATAATCTACGATTTTATGCATTGGATGACGAATGTATTGGCAAATGTGAAGAACGTGGGTCCTTTGTAAATAATTATCCGAGATTTTATTTCCGTTTGATAACACGTATGGTTAGAACACTACAGATCGTGAGTTCACTAAACTTTGATTTAAAAAGTTCATATAATTGGCACATTGACATGAGAGATATGACCTATATTTCACTATACACCTAACATGAGAACTAATCTGAAAAAATCATTTGTTGTTTGTTGAAGTACCTCATATATTATATGCATATAAGGTAAAACTCGTGATACGTACCTCCGATCAAATACGTGCATCTTAGAAATATGGAGTTACGATGATAAAGTGTGCATTGACCATATTCGAATTAAAAATTGGGTGATCTCGTCGCATAAATAATGACGATTTATTAGACAAGAAAAATTTCTGACGCAAACAATGAAACCTCGGGTTGTACTTGAGAGAAACTTCTGCTATTATCGTTATCTCGAATTTCCCGGGTGAACTGATATCGGAAGTGCCTAGAAAAAGGGTAGAACGACATGAAATCTGGTTCTATTGTCTTATAAACTGGTTTTTACCATGTTATAGAGATGCACATGTTTGAAATCCTGCTTTTTTTTAACTGGTGGAGAAACTCTCCACAAAAGTTAAAAAAACCCATATCATCTATAATCGTAATTCGCACGAGAAATTCTTGTGAGAATCAAATCATGATTTTTTAGTACCGAAAACGGTATAATGGATGTGGTACTTGAAATGGTCAAATCGAAGGATCCGAAAGAGACACGTTTATCCTATCTTGAAGCAACAATAAGACTGAGTTCAGTGACACAGACCTTGGGGCGTGTCAACGACATTCTCGAGTTAACAGGTGCATAAGCAAATGAAAACAAGAGTGCTGTTTCTTTCTTTTTTTAGACGGGGTCCCAAATTCGAATCGAGTCTTAATATTTTTATTTATAGCAAATGTTGAATGATTTGATTTAATACCGACATTATTTTAAAGTAATTATACTATATATACAATACATTATATTATTTAAAAACGTGATCGCATAAATGCGAAAAAAACTTGATCGAATTTAAATTATAATAAAGCTTTTGACAAATGATTGCGATCTTGCGTTTTTTTTTCAACTTACTGTATATATCCATTTCTTACACACTTCAAAAATAAAACCAAATGACAGCAAAACTTCATGAGATAGGCTGTACACGTATTTCATGTGCACCATCCAATCTATTCTTTTAAAAGAGCAAAGATCTCGTTGGTGGTTCCGCAAAAAAGAAGAGACGTACTATGATTCGACAAAGTCCGTACAAAAGGGTTGTGGTTCTCGCTTTGGATGGTGAGTATTAAAGAATCCGCGATAACATGAGAGAATATATTTAATCCACGTTCAGGTGTCGGCAGGTTTTTTACAGAAGCCTTAACACCAACCCTTGATGGTTTTTTTGCTTCGGGTGCCAGTTCATTCAAAGCAAAGGCGGTGGTGCCAACAGATAGCGCACCAAACTGGGGTTCGGTATTGCACGGAGTTCTTCCGGAGAAACATGGACTGAAAAATGGTGATGTGGAAGCGGGTACGCCATATGATGAAAATAGTCCTTACCCAAGTGTATACAAATTGCTTGCTCAAAGTTCAAAAGATATCAAGTTGGCATCGTATGTGGCATGGGAACCAATCAATACTGGTATCATCGAACTTTCAGTCAAAGCAGATCTTTATGCGCCTCTCACCCATGAGAATGCCTTTTGGAGATGGTGGCTTCGCTTTAAACATTATTCTCTCAAGGATTCCATCTACGACTATACGGTGATCTCGCGACTTCTCGACTATATCCGCAATCCCGAGAATGAAGACGTGAAACTGTTGCTTGTCCATCTGACCGATGTTGATGAACATGGTCATGGTCACGGTTACGGCTCTCAAACATACCTGAATCAGATTGAGATTATGGACGCGCACGTCGCCAAAATTCTAGAAGCAATTAACGAAGCGGGGTGGAAAGATGACACTCTTGTAATCATGACAACTGACCATGGTGGTGTTGAGCGAGGTCATGGTGGAAGTAGCGATCAAGAAGTTAATGTGTTCTTGGCCATCCGTGGTGCCGGCATCGAACCAAATTCAAGGATTGAGGGTGATGTGACCAATATGGATTGTGCAGCTCTGATTCTCAAGGCATTGGGAATGGAGATTCCTGAATGGTTTGATGCGAAACTGCCCGTAATCAATTCCCTTTCCTGGTGATTACTAATATCGATCCAATTATATTACAGCATATGCACCAGGGATCGATATTTTATCTTTACTGAATTCGTCTTAGAAATGATCCAAACTTGTTTAATTCCTGTAATTTTCTCCAACAGGTCACACATCAAAAATATGAACAGATTAACCAATTTGAGATATTACTTGTTTCAATACATTAAAAAATGATATTCGTGTCGTTTTATGTAATATATGCTGTACAGTTATTCATATCAGCAAGAATATTAAAACGCATCTTACTAAATGAGAAGGCACGCAATCCTCCTGAAATCTTTATAAGTACATAAAATGTCATGCAACTAACATCATCGACATATATTTCTTTTTCATCAAGTTAGGACGCTGACCCTACTATCATTCCTTATCTTATAGCAATCTCTTTTAGCAAATTTATATTGTCAACAAACTTTTTTAAGAAAAATATATACTCCTTTAATAGTTGTGGCTGTAATATCTTTATACCATTGAACTTCGCAAAATTCTTGCATCCTAAGAATGAAGTCTACAGCTTATAATTACATAATTTACTGGAAATATCTCATCTTACGAATCTATCTTGATTCATTTTCTTTTGAATATGAATAGAATTTCTCATTTTGTCTAAATTTTGATGAAAGATAAAAAAGTTTAGCCGTATAGAACCTCATCAAGATCAAGAATTGAGTTTGACGATAGATAAGCGTTCTTTGTCAATATCAAATAATCTGGCAATTTTGGATTCATGTCATTCTAACAAACAAATATGTGGTTGATTTGATTAGTCGCCCATTTTAAAAACGTGATGTAAAAAAAAATTTTTTTTTTTTGAACACAACAGAATTATCAAACTTTTTTTTTTCGAGTTTGCCATACATAAAAATAAGCTAATGCTGATTAAAAAATATCGTAATGTTGATGTGCATCCATCTACACTTTTCACCATCTGTTAACATAAATCGGTCGGTCGATTAAAAGAATATTGTATAACACAGTAACATTCATCGTTGTATTTTTATTTAATACTCACACATTTAATAAAATCTCATATCACTGTACCATTTAACATCAACTATTGATAAAAAATCATTAAAGAAATTTTTAAAAAAAACAAAAAAAGAAGCTTTCAAGTTTATTATTATTAAAAATCAAATCTTTTTTTCTAAATTAAAATTTATCAATTTGATTTTTCAAACCTTAAGTTCTAATATATAAGTCAACTTTAAAAGTTTAATTGTAAAAATTCAAGTTATATATGAATAAAACTTGAGTTATTTTAATAATAAAAATTATATAGAAAAAGCTTTAATTTAATAATTCAAATTCTTTATTTAAAATTTTAAAATCAATTTATTAAAATTTCATATTTTTAATTATAACTAGTTAAAATTATATTATCAAAATCTTGACTACTAATTAAATATCTATTACGTATTAATTTTACTAATAATCAAATATTAAATAACAAATAATAATATATTGTACATATATATTATTAAATTTAATTTAATATTTTTATGTCTTATATTTTTAATTTATATTTTGAGCAAAAATAATTTAAATATTATTCAAAATATAATTAACTAAAAAAAGTATAAATTGGAAAAGTACATGAAAGAAATTTAATTTTAAAAATATTATATTACTAAAAAATTGTTGTTATGACTTTTAAGATACTTAATGAATTTGATTAAAATTTTAATTTACAGTAGTGGCAATAAAAACTGACAATTTTTTTTTTTTTAGAAATTGCGACATCAGATCTTTTTTTCTGTTACGCC